ATATATATATATATACCGTATATGTATATAGCTTTTATTCAGTGCTATTGTACTTCATTCACTTGAAGCTGGTCTGCTGTCTGCTAATGCTTATTGAACACAGAATCAAAGAGGATACAGCTCTGAGCATCAGGAGAGATCAGCACAAGTTCACATCAGATATGGGTAATGTCAACAATCTATTACTGTACAGCTTACTCAGCTTACTCTATTGTACCATAGTGTGTAGAGTTGTTTTGTACACACCATAACATTCCATTATACATATATAACATACAATATATCCAGATGCTATTTCATTTGCACTATTTTATATTTCTCATATTGTTTATTCTGTTATATTCGTTGACTTTATAAAGTCAGAATTGTGAGATAAAAAGTATTTATTTATTTTTAATTCAGTGGCGAACTTACACACACACACACACACACACACACACATATATATATATATATATATATATATATTATGACAATACCTAAAATAGTTTGTATTCTTCACAATTAGTTCATAGACAAGAAGTATATTAGTTGTTCCAAATGTTCCACAGTACAGTTAAAATACTCATTAAAACATATTTTTGAGAAGTTAACAGGCATATACAGGTTGCACATCACTGAAAAAACTAATAGAACTTTTATCAATAAGTGGAAAGTGGTTATTTTTGTGTTTTTCACAGCAATGTCGTTCTTCCGGTTTGAAAAGCTAAATTGAAGCAACGTCAATACGAGGTGTATGTGTTAATCCAGGGTGGTGACTGACTGTTGGGGCTACACAGTACGAATCTACGTCATTCGGTTCTGAGCGTTTCTTCTCGCATGTATTCGTGAGAAAGAGCTTGTTCAATTTATTCATGAGAAAGAGCTCGTTCAATCCAATCACTGCGCTGTAGTATGCATAAAATATAAGTGCGGTATTATGCACAAGAAATTATCACTGCTGTCGCTTCTGTCTTCCCTCATACAGTCATGGGTCGTCTGTGTTTGTTTCTTCAGTGCGACAAACCAAAAGTTTTGTTTGTGTTCCCCGCAACGCGACCAGAGCTAAAGTTTGGGTGCAGGCGGTGGGTTTGCAGTGGCCTACCAACACATATGGAAAATATGTTTGTAGCAAACATTTTAAACCGGAGAGCTTTAAGAATTTGGAACTGGTGGAATCCGGGTTTGCCGATTGCCTTGTTTTAAAGGGGTCATATGATGCTGCTAAAAAGAACATTGTTTTATATATTTGGTGTAATGAAATGTGTTTATGCGGTTTAAGGTTAAAAAAACACATTATTTTCCACATACCGTATTGGCCCGAATATAAGACGACCCTGATTATAAGACGACCCCCCTTTTTTGTTGTTTTAATAGAGAAATAGACCGAGTAAGTGTATTTATTCAGCGATCACAATCGCAAACAATATCGTGAGATCTCATGACAGAACACAGAACGGCTGAATGACGCATTCATTTAGATCGCTAAACTCCAGCTTGTTTGTTTTTCAGATCATCTGCGGCGGCGCTTCCGCAATGAGGAGTGAGCGCGTGCGTATGGTTGCCAGATTGCTTATAATAAGCAAAACACACCGGGCAGAAAATTTATGAATTTAACAGCTAAGCTCTGATTCGGGGATTAGAACTCTTGATATCTGGCAACCGCACTCATGAAAGCTCGCGTAGTAGAGGCGCGTAGAGCAGTCTGCAATAACATTTTGTCTCCTTTTTTGACGAAAATAAAGAGGTTTTTGGTCGTTTTTATCTTTTTGAATACATTTTAGTCTCGTCTTATTTCGTCAACGAAATTGCATGTTGATATAGTCTTAGTTATCGTTTATTGACCTTATTTTCGTCTCGTCTTAAGCCCCGTTCACACCAAGAACGATAACTTTAAAGATAAATATAAAGATAACGATATTAGCGTCCACACCAGCGAACGATATCGTCTGCCGCTTTAAATTCTTGAGCTCGTTACAGCATGATGGATTCTGATTGGCTGTCAGTGTTATATCGCTTATCAGCTGGAAAAAAAATCGTTTTGAAAGTGATCACAACGATATCATTCCTCTGTATCGTTATCGTTATAGTTGTGGTGTGAACTATGCTATTCTTTAATATTGAGAACGATTTTTAGAACTATATCTTTATCGTTATCTTTATAGTTATCATGCTTGGTGTGAACGGGCCTTTAGTCATGGGAACAAAGCTTGTCAACGAAAATTTTTCGTCATAGTCTTCGTTAACGAAATTAACACTATGTCCATAAGTGCTCTTTCGTTTTACGGAATTTCTATGGCAATGCTGTTGCGTTGTTATGCCTACGGTAAAAACAACAATAACAGCAATACAGTTTGCAATACAGATGTTGTCTTACGACATGTCAACCTGTTGCGGTCACGCTGGATTATATTCGTTTTATGAGGCATCGGCAGAAACGCAGGAAGCTGGAATGTGCGACTATAGGCCTATTCCGTGTTGCCGTCTTCGTCAGTCTCAAAACTCAAAGAGGTGCTTATACTAGCAGTATATTGTCTTTTTCCGCTTGACTTGCGGTTTGCAATGACACAATCTTGTTTCTGCAAAGACGTTTATTGTTTTCTATAAAAATGTCTGACGTTTTTACATTTTACATAGCGTGAGAACGTGAAAAAGCTACGCTGAATCCGATCTGACCGGTCAGACTGAAACGGATTTCCAGGAATGCGATTTGAATAGGATTCCAAACCACATATAAATGTAGCTTGAAACGGATTTGCACAAATTGGATTTCATGTAGTTCGCTGCCGTTCAGACTATCTAAATATGATCGGATTTGCACAAAAATCGGATTTGGGCTGACAGTCTGAACGAGGCTTTTGTGTCTGCAACCCAATGTGGCGAAAGCAGTCTATTAGCTTAGTTCCTCCCCTGAGTTAGATGAACAAGAATGTCTCAGCTACATGGTAAACAACCTAAATGTGCTGTTCTTAGCTGTTACAATGAACATTTAATTTTTTTTATTTAGTCATTTAGCAGACGCTTTTATCCAAAGCGACTTACAAATGAGGACAACAGAAGCAATCAATTGTAGTATTAAAACAACTAAAAACAGATCCAAAACTAAAAGCTAAAACTTTATAAATACTACTTATACACATTTTAAAAATAAAGAAATTAAATAAAAATGACAAATGCATACAACAAAATTTCATAACTTAACATTTAAATGAAAAACAAAAAATAAAGCTAAAAACAATTCAAAATATTAAAGAACAAAAGGTATGAGTATAATAATGATCCTAACATAACACTAAATATACATGAGTATTCATTTACTCCCGGCATCTGAGCCACTGAAGACGCAGTCGCTCAGTTTTATTTTTGAAGGGAATGTGCCCAAAAATGCAGGCAAATACGTGTATGTGTGTGTGTGCTAACCATTTTACACCAAACTGCTTCGTAAACGAGGGTCAGTACAATGCAGGATTTGCATCAAAGCTGTTAATCAAGGATGGATCAATACCAACTCTGCGTGATCCCACCACTTCATATCTGAGAAGCAGGAGTTGTAAACTCAGCCCTCTTCTGGAAAGGGGACGGGGAACAGCAGCTCGTTTGCATTTAAAAAAACACACACGAAAACTTCATGTTTATTTTATTCTACCCAAAAGGGGCATTTACGGCAAAACGGAACAAAATATCGATGAGTCATCCAGCACTACACGGGTTCTTGTCCAATCAGATGCTCTCTAGAATGAGAATGTCCCTCCCACTAAATGATCTCTCTTCTCTGCTCTAATCATGGTTCGTCGGTGTGTATTTGGCTGTTCTAACGCACGTACTTTATTTTGTTTCCCAACCACAAACTGGTTACGAAAAAAGTGGCTGGAGTTTATACATTTTGAAGAAGGGGCTATTTGCGCCAGCTCGCGGCTTTGTGACAGGCACTTCTCTGACGAATCCTTCACCAATTTGGGGATGGTTACTGCTGGGATAACGTGCTACCTTACATTAGCAAACACGGCCGTTCCCACTCTGTACACTGTAGGCGCTTCCCCTCCCGCACGAGTAAGTATTGCTTTCTTCAGAAGCTTCTTAGACGTTGCATTTCTTTCATCAAAATGTAATCACTAAGCTCTTCGCCTTGGAAACAACCTTTCATGTATTGTATGCTATGCTGAGTGACGTAGCGGCGTCATGACGCAGGGATAATTTGAACCGGATCTTTCGAGCCGATTCTTTAAAATGAACAGTCAAAAAAGAACCAGTTCGCGCCACAGAAAAGAGTCGGATTGCCAAACACTGAACGAGCATAGCAAGCTACGGACAGATATGGTGAAAAGGTGCGTTTTGGGTTGTTATCCGCACAAAACCTTGTTCCCTTTCCCCAAGCTGCCGTGGTTGCGAGCCCGCTGGCTTGAATTTTTGCATTTTGAGGAAGGAGGAATATCGGAGAGCTCGCGGTTGTGTGCGAAGCATTTCGCCCCAGAATGCTTCACAAATTTACAGCAGTACGACATGGGCTTCACTGACTTTCTTAGCTTGATAGATATGGCTGTTCCGACAATATACACCGTTGGTCCAGCACCGAGTGTGAAGGTAAGTAGCGCCTGCCTGGTTAACATTGCAGTTTATTCTATCGAAGAACCGCCCACTCTGACCGGAAGTGTTCTTTGCCTACGTATAGAACCACCAACCATGTTAGTTTTTTGCATTTAAAGGGACCGTTCACTGCAAAATGAAAATTGTCATTTACTCACCTAACGTTCCAAACCTGTATGACTTTTTGTTCTGTGGAAGACAATAGAATATAGTTTGAAGAATGTTTGTACCAAACAACAACAAAACCAGTTACCACTGACTTTCATTTTATGGACCAAAAACCCCTGAAACATTTCTCACAATATCATTCATAAAAGAAACAAATTGGATAAGTCTGGATAGTAGTCTCTGTGAACAGGTTTTACAGGTAACGTTAAAAAATGTGTAAACTTTAAAGGGGTCATATGATGCTGCTAAAAAGAACATTATTTTGTGTATTTGGTGTAATTGGCTAGGGCTGCAACAAACGATTATTTTGATGATCGATTAATCTAACGATTATTAGACCGATTAATCGAATAATCATCGATTATTTTGCTGATTAATCAGTAGACATTTATTGATTATATTGCAATTAGT